GAGTGCGTTATGTTTAGTTGGTTGGTTGGTTGGTTGGTTGGTTGCCAGAAGTCAGCGGTCTTCATTATACCTTCACCTCAATCCTTCCAGAATCCATTAACTGTCGATTACACCCGGAACAAAATCTTTCTAATTACTCTTACCGCCTCTTGCTTGCTCTCTCGTCAATGCAAATATTTTCATCAGCTGATAAATTGTGCGTACTGGTTTTTTATTTATAGAAAAATGCTAATCGATTTTGTCTTACGAGTTAATGTTAAGCTTGACCAATTTTACACAATAAACATGCCGCGATAACAACAATTCTTGCTAGCATTTCTCTTTATAATATTGAGACAACATATTAATCTTCCTAAGTTAGCGACATTAGCAAACATAATTATAAAACATAAAGTTAACTTGAAAAGGAAAAAGAGTATAATTAATCTTAAATTGAATCAAACAAAAAAAAATGAAGAGGCACACATTGGACAATTCAAGGTGATCCCGATCATGAATGTTTTTCACACTATAATTCCATCAGAAACCAACATGCATGAGCACGAGAGTGCTTTGCGAGATGATTATTATTTTATGTGTAGCTAATTTTGTCAGCCACTTTGCTTAAAGTACGTGATGTGCATGAGTGACATCCTATGATCATTACACATTATGAACAAAGCACCAAGTTTAAGTAGAATATCTTTAAATAAACGCAACTTTCTTTTTAGAACGCGTATTGATTTTCCCAATTTATAGCCTTTAATCATGATTCTGGATTTTTTTTCATCATGATACATAATCAATGACACATGTTTCTTTCGACAATGTCTTACTATATAATGTGTGTGTGTATATATATACGTGTATATATATATATATATATATTTATCACTGTATTTCCTCGCCTTCAAATATTCAAACCAATCTGATTAACTTGACTTTCAATCCAACCGTTAAAGTCCACATGCAAAATGATTAACTATTAATCTTTATATAACATATATTCAAAGTTAGTTTGAAAATTAGAAGTCTACAAACCTCTCGTAGAGAACTTTCCTCTACCCCGAGGAAGAAGAAGAAGATGACGTTGTGGCAGTTTGGATCCTGCAAATGCGAACGTCCTCGCCCAATTAAGAGCGGGTCTTGGTTTGGTGAGGAAAATTGTTATTTTCTTGCCACAAGCTACTAGCTAGAGGTGTAGAAATAGTTTTAAATGACGCCACATCACATCAGTTGTTGGAAATATACCTTGAACTAGTATTTTTTTTTTTTCTTCTTAACTTAACTACTCATCCATGACGATATTTTATCCTAAAAGAGTTTTGGTGTAACACGATAACTTTTAGAAGTTAGAGGTTCTATCCTAAATTCAATTGATAATGAGAAGAATAGCCCGACTCCTAATAAAGTCCATTCTAAGTTTGATCAAAGAAAAAAAAATTGTCCATTCTAAGTCACTTAATTTTCCGATATGGGACATTTCTTCATCACCTCCGAGTAATTACCTGAGTTTCAGTGGGCAGCATGAGGAGAAATCAAAAGAGTAGGCCCAATGTGATTGACTAGTGAAATGATCACGCGCCTTCCTTGGATAAGAAGGGATCGTAGGGACCAAGTCACCAAAGCGATTGACTGACTGAGGATTCGCAAAATCTTGAACAAAAGTCTCGTCTTCTCTCCTGCTTTGCTTTGCTTTTGAGCTTCTTGCTTTTTCCTCTCCTTCACAGTTCACTAATAAAAATTGGCTTTCACGTGTGTTTGTCAACCTCAGTAAGGTTTGTCGGTCAAACTGGTTTCCCACAACCTTCACCCCAATTATTATTATTGTACTGTTTTTTTTTAAACAAAAAAGAAAAAGAAAAAAAGTTTCAAGAAATAAAACGAATAAGAAAAGGTGACTGTTGGGTCTGCGGTTGTATGGTTTGACAGATGCAATTTATAGTCTCCCATTCCTCTCTCTATAAAAAAGACTCTTTTCCAGGAGATCTTTGCTTTTTAATCAATAATCAGTCCAAACTTCCAAACCAAACCAAACCCCATTGAAGCTGGAGAAGCTCTCTTCCTCTTCCTCCTTCCTCTTCTTTACATGAAAGATGGAGCTCTGTTTGAGCTTAGGAGATGTGCAAGCTCCTGCAGAGCCATTTGGGTTAGTCTCATCATCATCATCAGAGAAGCCTCGTGATGATCGGGTCATCATGGCCGCCTCCAAAACGACAGGGTTTTGCATGAGCTTATCAATCGGTCCAAGCTGTGACAGCAGCACGAGTACTAGTCCTAGAGAAGCAGATCAACAACTTGATACAAATGATCATCAAAATGATGATGATCGAAGTAGGTTTAGTGCTGCTTGTGGTTCCAAATCAGATGTACCAGTCCAACTTGATCTTCTCCCCCACACTCCTGTAGCCCCCAGAAGCAGCAGCCATGGCTTCCCTTGGCCCACTCCTTCAGATCAAAACGGTGAGAGACTCCAATACAATCCCACCTTTACAAGTATGATCTTGTGTGTATGTGTATGTTTTTTTTCTTTCTTTTTCACAATTTTAGTTAATTTAATTTGTGACAATTTGTAATTATTTTTCTGGGTAATAATTGGGTTGGGATAGTAGGAGGAGGAGGAGGAGGAGGGGGCTCATCAGAAAACGTGAACAGAGTGGAGGAAGTGGCGGCGGTGTCATCGTCGCCGACAAACAGTGGTGCGTCGTCGTTTCAGATGGATATAGGGTTATACAGCAGCAATTACAGGGGCAGTGGAGGAAAGAGGAGTCACTCTCCAGAAGCAGAAGGGGATGAGGGAGAAAGGCAATCTAATTCTAGAGCAAGTGATGAGGATGACATCAATGGCATCAACACCAGGAAGAAGCTCAGGCTCTCTAAAGAACAGTCTGCTTTTCTTGAAGAAAGCTTCAAAGAACACCACACTCTCAACCCTGTAAGTATCCTTACACAAAAGTATATTATGTGTCTTTATGTGAATCTGGACCACACAAAAACAATATCCATACAAATATATATATATATATATAGTATTTAATTTTATTTATGATATTACAATGTTGGCAGAAGCAAAAGCTAGCACTGGCAAAACAGCTTAATCTTCGTCCAAGACAAGTAGAAGTTTGGTTCCAGAATAGAAGAGCAAGGTATATATATACATATATATTATATATGAATTCCTAGCAAGATTATGTTATTCTTGATGATAAAAGTAAGGCTTTATCTTTCTCTTTTTTTTACAAAAAAATAAAAATATATTAATAATCTCTAAATGATGATGATAGTGATGATGAATGATGATGTAAGTGCAGGACGAAGCTGAAGCAAACGGAGGTTGACTGTGAGTTTCTGAAGAGATGCTGTGAGACACTAACGGAAGAGAACAGAAGGCTACACAAAGAGCTACAGGAGTTGAGGGCTTTGAAGACTCATCATCATTCAAACCCATTCTACACGCAATCACCAGCCACAACCCTCACCATGTGCCCTTCCTGTGAGCGCATCGCCACCACCAACACCACTAACACCACCACCACCACCAACAACAACAAAACTACTACAAAAGCCCAAGCAGAAGCAGATGGCTTCCCAAGATTCTATCCATTTTGTCAACCCCAATCCCACCACTCTTCTGCAGCTTCATGATCACATTTTGTGACATATTTATTTAATATTTACAGCTTCCTTCCAAACTGGGTTACATTAAATTTGATTAATTTGGTGGGTGTGCGTGTACATATGTAGACAAAAGTATTAGGGAAATGATCAATAGCTTTTTATTCATATTGTGGGATTTATGGAATTGGATTTTCTTTTTTGTCTTTTCCCCTTGCTCAAAGCCCCATCCGTCTGATAGAACCAGAGAGGAAAAAAGAACAAATTATTTATAGGATCAAGAAGAAAAATACTTATCTCATTCCTCTGTAAGTAGGAACTTCTACAGTTTTTCTTTTTGTGTTTTTGATGAATTATTTTTACACACATGTCAAATCGTGATTCAAAGGACTTCTACAAGCTAATGGTCCTATAACCATCGTCCTCTTTTTCAATCTTCTTCTGTTTTGTTAATTGGTAAGATTTTTGGTTGAATGAATGAATCAAAGGGTTGTTGAGTTCTTTGATTGGCTGAGGTTGAAGGCTTGAAGCATGCTTTGAATGAAAGCAAGGGGCAGGCTGTAGGGACATGAGGGGCGTCTTTTGGGAATTTTGACGATTTCATTCGATGCATTGAAACTTTCCAAGGGCCGTTTGATTTGATGAGGAGGCGTGGGCGTGGGCGTGGGATTGATATCATATTTCTTTCATGGAAAGTAGTAGTTGGGGAGTGTTTCCACCCTAAAGAAAACTGTGGGGACAAGTCAAGAGAGAAGACAATAGGGTTTTTGGTAAGTAGGGACAGGAACGCCATATTGATGAATGTTTGTCCCTCAAAGTGGGCCCCAATACACACCAATGCTCAACATGTCATGTGAGTGAGATACCGTGAGGGAGCTATCTATGCTACGAATGTCCACGAATTTTAGGAATTAGGAGTGAGTGAACATACTCAAGCAATTTACATATGCTGAAGAGAAATAGGTCACGACATTGGATAATTTATCCTTATACCAATTCGGAGAAATTATAGCTTATGTGAACAGCCCTAATTCATCATGATACCGAAACCACCAGCAAGAAATTGAAAAGAAAAACCTGAAAACATGCTAGGGTTTCTAGTAGTTGATTTTAGTATTTACCAACTAGGTCTTTAGTTGTATTACGACTTGCTCTAATACCACACGTAAAACCCGAGGAGCATATTTAATTAAAAACACATTAGCTCAAGCCATTGAATGATATCCAAAGCAAAAGCCTGACTCAATATCATGTTGATTACACAGCTAATTATTTACATGTGTGTGATGCCAACATCTAGTGGGGGCCCTCAACTTATATATATGTCCAGTTAGGAAATGTTAGAGGGTACGAGTGTTTCAGAAATTCCCTTATCATTAAGTCAGTATGAAAAATAAAGGATTTGTAACTCAAGTGATTAAGAGTAATTACCTATGCACTTTAGATTTTATGTTCAAATCCCCCGATATCTTTTATATAGAAAAAGAGATGAAGAAAGTTTAAAAACTAAAGTTTGTTGTGAGGTAGCAAATTTTGTTGTTTCCCATGTTTCATTTGCTCAAAAGCTTGGGAGTCGTAATGAATGAATGACACTTGCTCACCACAAAGACACAAGCGAAGCCTGAATAAAATATTCGTCAATCTGTCAGGACTCAAGATTCCACATGAATTGGAACAATAGCATGTTCTAGAGTCGTTTAAGAGTTTTGGACACTCTTTTCTTGCAAGTCAATTTTTAAGTGCAAGTTCTACCCACGAGTTCTTGACAATTGATCTTCCTTAAATAGATTTCACGAAGATTCCTACAAATTGTAGAGATTTCTAGAGCCAATTCCTAGAGGGCTCAACCCAGATTACATTGATTGCTCTCTCCACGCGCTCACATCTAACACAATCTCTTAACATATTGCTAGAACTAAGACATTTTAAGGATGGGATGGTTGCGGAACGTTAATGACTGGGAGAAAACCTCACCACAAGCTTTGGATAAAATATTAGACTTATCATGCATAATCCAAAAGATTTATTTTTAGTGTAAGACTAACTTTAGATAGTAACTTGTGCACCATCTTTCTAATAGAGGTGGATCCTACCAATATAATGAGTCTCACGTTTTATTAGAGAGATGATACACAAGTTGGTATCTAAAGTTGATCTTCCTTGCATTTTCCATAATTCAATATTGACCTCTGCAAGACGTGCATGTTGTGGGAGGCCATCCACGTGGTGTAAGATTGCGAGAGGACAATCATGATTAAAATATGAGACCGACCATGGACCCATCTCCAAATCCTTATCGGAAAATAATGGAAATTATAAGGCAGAAAGAAATTAACCACTTGACCTAAACAAACACCTGTATACAAAGTGCAATTCCCACTGATATATGACATCCATAGGATTTGTTCCAAAAAGAATTACGTACGAGAAAAGAAAAGGAACTAATCTTGTTCTATGATTTATGTTTGTGATAGGAAAATTTGCGAAATACGCTAATACTTTTTAGACATTTCAAAAGATTATAGTAAGGGTGGGTTAGGATTATGTATGTGGTTGTGAATGATTGCGAATGAGATTGTCAACTTTTCAACCAATTCACTTTCAAGTTTGCCTTATTATATGCATTATTGCACTTTACATGTACTAACTTACAAATTTTAATTATTTTATTTTATTAAGGAAAAAAGTTTAAATAAAATAGTTATCGGGTCGGTGCCGAATTTGGTGTTACCATCCCTAGTTTTGCTCTATAATATATTCAGTTTAATTTGACAAAATTTGGCTAGTTTTAAAATTTTCCTCTGATCAGATGAGAATTCAGACACAAGAAAGCATAAAGCAAAGAGTGAAAGATAGGACTAATCATTGAAGTAGATGCTCTAGCTCATATCAGTTGGTGACTCTGTATCTTACCAAACACAAATCTCCAGCCAAAATTAATATCACAATCGTTTACAATGAAACAAAGTATTCGAAAAATATGACAATATGCCTTACAAGTCTAAAGCTCATCAGTTCATTACATCCTCTGATAAAGAAATTCTATGAAAACTGAATCTGAAAGAATTTTCACAATAATCTGTCTCAACCGAACTATTTGGTGCCGTAAGAATTCACAACACTCAACTTACAACCAAAGGCAGGGGAAAAAAATGTACCTCACTCAGTTGCCACTTCTCCTAACATCTACCCTGGGCTGGGCAGGTCTATACTAACATTTTGTAATCTGTTTCATGGTGACACAATGACGTGACCATTACAGCAAAGCGCGACAAATGTACAACTATCCATAAAACAGATCAAGACAATTTATACAGTGAACTTGATTGGATATGAATTTACCAATTCTGCCATCAAAGTTGGAAATAACTAAAAATGAACCTACTAATTTGGCGTGAAAATCCTTGAAGGTGCTAAATGTTAATGACGTCTGATAGAGTAATCTTGGGTCAGTTTCCAGCAGCTAGATCATTTCTGAACTGTTCTACCAAAGGAGGAAGGAGAAGAGCAAGCCTAGACTTGTACCTTGCAATTCGCCCCAAGCGTTCTTCTCTTAACCTATAAGCAAAACACCAAGTCAACCTATGCAAGCTTTATCTGCAGAAAGAGTAATCCCAACCTTTTTGGAAAGCAGCACATCTCAAATATAGACTTTTCTTTATCCAAAGAGGGAATGATACCATCTTTAACGGTGAATGATACCATCTTTCTTGAATTGTTGATTAAGGCAGATGAACAATTAAGTTACAATACATTTTGAAACTTTGCATAACAAAAAAGGTGCATGTGTGACATTTAATGAGAACTTGCAGACACATGCTAAAACCTAACACGTCTTTTTTTATTTTGGCAACCTAACATTTCAAATTAAACACTCCATTTCCTCCACCCTTAAGGCCAACCTAGATGAACCCATTAAATCAGTCTGGAGGCAACAGAATTCACTTCTCAAATATGTTTTTCACAATCAACATCTTCCTTTAACAGAAAAAAATGGATGACATAAATCAAGTGCAAATTGACCCTCCCACATTATTTTTATGGTCCAAGTGCACGCATTAGAATTTAATCTCACAATATAACGGATAATTCCTTTAAGATTTCTTGTCACAAGCATCACTAAAGCCACCAAATTCAACTAAGGTGTAAATTTTATGTATATAAATCAGCCTCATCAAGCCTTAAAACGATAATCTGTAACAAAGGAAAAGCCGCCTCGGTATGTGTAAGAACCTGAAGGTGTGAGAAACTCACCGTGCTCGAACTTTTCTGGCGCGTTTGACATGTCTTTTTAACAGATCATGTGGTGATGAACGTTGAATGTACTCCTCATCCTGAAAGCAAGAACAAGGAAACTCAACTTGCAAAAGATCTAATAACTTTTTTTCTTTTCTTCAGAAGAGATAAAGATCTCATCATTTGGTATAGGAAAGAACAGATGCAAAAATATATAAGCTTCCACTTTTAATTTCAATGCCCTTTATATTTAAAACTTGCTGAATTAAACCTATTCCACAGTAAAACCAAGGATGAAAATATTGGCCGATATGTCGGATTTTCAGTGTCTACACTGATACTGGGGAGTAAGCCTATTTCTTCCCCCCATATTGGCGATGTTTTCTGAGAATTTCCCGGATTACACTAATATTTGACGATAATTCTGATATTTCCCAATATCAGCCTAAAACCCAGAAAAATTTCACAACTTTTGAAGGTAATAGAAGGAAGAAGATGCAAATTATAAAAAAAATAATAAATAAATAAAACCCCTCTAATTAAGTCAAATATGAACCAAACTGAACCTTAATTGAATACCCATATACTAACTCAGCCATCAAACAAACTAAATATCCAATTAATCTAATAATCATTCTACTCCAATTGACACCAACAACATCGATATGCCCCCATACCAAAAACGAAATTGATATATCTTTTAATTGGAGGGCTGATACTATATGCACAGCCAACATTTTCATCCTTAAGTAAAACTATCCTGGGTCAAAAGGTCAACCAAATAAAGGTAAAAGCAATACAAGTAGAATCAAGTTTCTCTGAACACCAATAAAGCAGACCCATAGCCCACCTGGGGGTTGGAGGTAACAGAAAAACCTATAATCCTCCAATTTGACAAAATATCCATGCATTCATACAAAGTGTGCTTTTATCTATGTACCTATTTTCTTTCTCTAATTTCTCTGAAACTCAA